TGGGAGATGTAGCCCTAGGGCCTGGTTGCAGGGCCAGAGCCATGTGTTGCTCTACTTGGTCACCTCCCTGGGGACGCCTTCCCCTCACGTGCCTGGACGTGCTCTGCGACCTGCCCCTGGCCCAGCACGCCTCACCGAGCCTCACCACGCAGGAAGCAGCAATTCCATCACATCCCTCCCCCAGTGGGCACCTTTCCAAGAGGCCCTGGCGCCCCTGGCCTCTGTCCCGTACAATAAACAGTCCTGGGGTAGGGGGAATCTGCTGAGGGAACGAGGCCGATGCCAGAGGGGAGAAAACCCGACCTGCACAGAAGACGGGGCAGCACAAGAAAGGGGCAAAACCAAGAAAACACAGCCCCAGCCCGCAACCCCATGGCTTCCCACCTGCCGCTACCTCCCGTGGCCCCGCCAGCTTGTGGCCAAGGAAAACATCAGCCGCTCTGATGCAATTAGGAAAATATTGTTTTTCAAATGTTGCCAGATTCCCAAGGTTGGATGTGTGACCTGATAGACAAGGGGCAGGGGCGCCTGCCACTGGCAGCCACAGCTTGGGGCACCCAGGACAGGCGCCCATACCTGCCCACCTGCTGCTCACCTGCAGTTAGGGGCTCGGGACAGTTTGTGGGCTCAAGGAAGGTGTACCCTTCCTGAGTGGAGTGAGGAGGGCTTCGTAGCCTGTCCTGGGTCTGGAGCCCAGATGAGTGGCCTTGCAGCCTAGCCACCAGCACCTTCCAGGAAGGGTCTGGTCAGCACATCTGTGCACCTGCCTGAGACTCTCACCCTCCCTGCGGTTCTCTGCCTTGCTGCCAGTCACACAGCAACGGGCCTGGACAGGATGGAGAACTCCCTGCCTCTCCATTCTCCCTTGGAGGGAGGGCCCAGTAAGAATCCATCCAGGGGAAGAAAAACAAGCTTCCCTTCCCGGCTTTTTGTTTTCAGAAGAGCCTGATGGACGTTGCTCAGGCGGGGTGTAAGGCTGTGGTCTCAGGGGATTGTACCCCGGGCTGTTGGAAGGAAACAGTGAGGATGGCCTGAGGCTCAGACTCCCCTGGAAGGGGAGGCCGAGGCGGGGGCCAGAGGCACAAGGAAGGGGCCGCAGCCTCCCTCCCAGGGATGTGCTGGGGCCCCAGAGGCCCATCAGGCCACTGCGTTCTTGGATGGAAAGTGCTGTCGGGGCCTCTGCCGGGCTGGAGCTCTGCCGTCCGCTGGTGTGGAAGGCTAAGAGGATGTGGTGGTGGCCAGGGGCTGCCCCCGCCCCTACCAGAGGCTGAGGATGGGGAGCCGACCTGGATGCTGCATGTGGTGGAGATGGAGACAGGAAAGGTGAGAGACCGGAAGACCAATTGTTGGCCACAAAGGGCTGCGAGGTGCCCGGGCTGCCCCCAACCCTGCTCTGACACTGCCAGTGTCTGTGATCCAGTGACGCCCACAGCAAGCTCTGGGTGAGCCCAGAGTCCTGGTGCATGGCCGGCAGCGTGAGTGCCAGACGCCAGGCAGCACCCACCCCCACACAGGACCTGAGTCCCAGGGGCTGCATACAAGGCCCACCTCCCCTGGGCAGCAGTGGAGGGTCTGAGAGGAAGGCCTGGGGGCTGGAGTGCTTGTTCTGGATCCTAAAGGGAGGCTGGGCCACTGGAGGACAGGCAGGGCCTGCCCCAGGGGCCTGTGGCTGAGCTGGGGAGCAGCTAGAACAAGACCCGCCCCCTGTCCCTTCCCCACATACCTGCTCAGGTGTCCTGCCCCACCAGGCTCCGCCCCCAAAACAGATGCCCCGCCCCGCCCCGCCAGACCCCGCCCCC